GTGATGTGTCCTGCCATGAGCAGCCCTAACTATAGACATGGGGAAATAGAGATCAAGGGATATCCACCTTGAGGTGGACCATTCTTGGTCTCCTCAAAATGTGGGAAAAAAAACCCAAATAAACAGGGAGCTTCTCAGTGAGGCTCTACCTTCCTGCTTAGGAAAATCTAGCCAAGAACTTGGCACTTCTAAAGCACTAGGCCTCAGTGGAGCTTCAAGGCTGTGGTGCTGGGTCCTTTGCTATGTAAGTAGCTCTCTCAGGTCTGGAGCCCCTCTCCACCAACAGGGCTCTTCTTACCACTCATCACCTCCCATAGTACTTGGAGCATCCTAGATGCCTGACCAAGGGCCTTTCTCAGACACTTTCCATATTTGATCTGCTCTACTGGACTTGCATGAGAGCATCTCTTTTTGAATAAAGAAAACCTAAGATGCTATACTCCACTCATGTTCCTTCTTGAACAATCATTTTCCATTTCCTTTCTCAATTCCTTCTGTTTGTCTTCGCTTCCACATCCTCCATACAGCTTTCCCATTCCCGGAGAGCAGTCTCACATCCTGCTCACAGCTTCCATTACATTCAAGCATGTGCTGATTCCTCACAAATGCCCTAGCCATGTGCTGGAGGTACCCACAGTTGTTTAGATTAAATAAGAATCAGCTTTCTTCAAATCCTCTCCCCATTTTCTCTTTTCTTCTAGATAGGATCTGAGACTGGGGGCCAACTATGCATCTTTCCTTCAAAGTACACACTAGATTTGATAAACACAAGTAGATGATGATGCAATACCATTTATTTAGCACTTATAAGTTTCCAGAGAGTCTTATTAACACTGAGACCATGGCAGTAAATTGAAACAATAAAACAAAGAACCAATCCTGCTTTTGTATATTGCATCCCAGAGATAGAAAGTCAAGTCTTCTTGTCTCAGCTTTGCACTCCTTAGGCCTCTCTTCCCCACTCTCAGCTCCCTCTTCTCTGGTTAACCCTTCTCTTTTCTATGAGTCACCTGCTCATTTCCCTGTTCAACCTTATCTCTTATATTTTTTTCTCCTTGAATATCTTTTCCCAGCCAAGCAGAGCTATTACTACCAGACTTTCGAACCTCATACACAATGGATTTTTTCCCCATGTTCATTCTATCTTGGAAACCCCTTCTTCCTACCCTTCCCCTTTGCATGCTGAAAAATCTGTCATTCTAGAAAGCTTGGGTCACATCAGAGTTTTTCCTGGGAGCTTTCTCTAAGCGAGAAAACTTTCACTGGTCCTTGCAAGCACTTTACCACTTTAAAACACTTTTGATTGCACCTTGTTTCAAATTACCTTCATGCAGGGTCACTTCTCATGGTAGTCACTGGAGGGCAGGCTCTGGAGCCAGACTCCTGAGGTCAAACACTGGCCCTGGCACTTTCAAGCTGTATGACCCCCAGGAGGTTGCTCAGCTTTTCCAGGCTTGGAAGTCCTCACCCCTAGAATGGGAGGTAACATTGGATCTTATCTGACAGGTAAATGTGGGGCACCTTGGGAACAAGCGGCTGCTTGTAGCACAGAGCACCTGTGAGGCCCATGACCCATGCTGTAGGTGGATCTCCTCTAACCCCAGCTTGCAGCTTGGCACTGAGGAGTTCTTTCTATCTAGTGATGCCAGGAGTGTGATCAAGAAGAAATCAATTGACTTTATTTTCAATTTTCCACTCTTCCCATTTGCAACTCAAATTCTCAACAATTTAATAAATTATCTCAAGTCTTCATTGTTAACATTAGAAGCCAGGTTCAAGATGCCCTGGGGATAGAGGGAATGCAGTCAAGTCAAATGTCAAATGGGGTCACTGAGGGTGGGGCAGGGGTGAAGCCAGCGTCACCTCATTGAAGGAATCGCTACTCTTGTCTGGGTCTTGAACTTATTAATCATAAAATATATTCACCCTTGACTAGGTATCTCCTTGATCTTCTTGTGCTTTGTTTAGCTTTTGTTTCCGGTGTTCTAAAATTCCCCACTCTGCTTGGCTCACATTTCTCTTTCTGCTTCCCCACCATTTCATTTCTAGTTCAAATCCATCTTTCCATCCATCATCCTATAGACTGGCCTTTCCCACAGGCTTGGCTTTCTCCTATGCTCTGTGGGGTTGGAGGGGAGCAGAGCTCTGCAGACCCAGCCCCACTTCCCTGCTCTATGAGTCAGGATCTGTGCCTGCTCAGCCATGCACCCTGGAGACTCCTCTGTATCCTACTTCTCTAGGTGAGTCTCAGGGTTAACAACCCTCACCTAGGGCAAGGCTGAGAAATTGACATGCGACTTTGTGGATGCATGTGGTGAGGACTGGGCCAAAGGAAGACTGCTTCGGAGGCAGGTTTTTATGTGTGTGTTTCTACCCTTTCCTTGTGGCTCAAACCCACATATCCCACAAGAAGTGGATCACCAAGATGGACTGGGAGACAGCTGGAGAGGGTCCTGAACCAGGGCTTGGGACTGCTTCTGCCTTCTTGCTTTAGGACTTGGCTCCCAGATGAGTCCTGCTCTTTCACTGTGCAATGGGAACAGGAGGAAGGTTCTAGAAACTATATATTGAACAGCCACTTAGGTGATTCTGGGCTTCATCTTAGAACCAAACCTTTTGGAGACTGTGGGAAGTTTGGATGCCCAGACAAGTCTAGAGCTGGTGAGGGCAGCCTATCACAGGATGGGGTTGGCTCAGAGCTGGTTCACAGTGCGAGAAGCCAAAGACAGTCTGGGCTGCTGAGGGCAGCACTATTCTCAGGGACAAAGGGAACCCTTTTCTGCCTACTTAGAGGTAAGGAGCAGTGGATGACTTGGGGAAAGACAACTAAAACAGATGCTGTTTGGCAACAGTACTATACTAGCCCCAACTCTGCATGGGAGCGGTGCTAGCTGGTTGCTGCACTGGGCTTTGGTGCAGAGAAAGGGCCATAAGTTTCCAGAATGATGGAGGAATGTGGAGTTCCTGCTTTGGTCATCTGAGAACTTCCCCTGAGTCTTTCACCAATTGCTCAATTCTCTGAATGTCTCTTTTGCTCCTTGCTTGGTGCTGGAGTTGAGAGGCTATAACAGAAAGACTTGACCTTTGGAAAACAGCCAAAGGAACTACTTCGTGAGAATCTGAGTGCATTTGATGAGAACATATGAAGGATTCACCAAGGGGTCACAGAACCTCATGATGTTTTATTTTGATAGAAACTATGATAGATTCATTGAAAATGGGATCAGGGATCTTTGGCTTCCAGCCTCCAAGCCTAGTCTTTTAACTCCCAATCCTTAATTCCCACATTCACCATTAAAATACAGCTTGATGTTTAAATTGACACTACTCCTCAGAAGTGAAGTGAGCAGCTGTTTCCAGTTTTCTCTTCAGGCCAGAAGTAGGTAAATGAATGTAAAGGGTCTACAGCATCAAAAGGTCACGCTGAGACTAATTCTCAGGACTACTTAAAATCAAAGGTAGTGAAATGCAATTAATGAAGTATATTATTCTTTTTTTTAAGAGTTTTGGAACCTCTCCTTCGTGTCTTCACTGTGATGGTCTCCAGGATGAGCTAGTCAGTGGCTCCCTTTTGCAGGAGGCTTTCAATGCACATTAAAAAATTTTTTTTATTTGTGTTTTTAAAATTTAATTTCAATGCACATTCATTAAGCTTCCATGGAAACTGAGCTGCAAAGCTATATTCTATAGTTTTACAAATAGATCCACAGACAAGGTTCTCACTCTGTCAAACCCATCCTTTTGAATGACTTCTCCCCCTTAGTTTGAATCCAGGCTATTTAAAAAAAAAATTTATTTAGTTGTAGATGGACAGCATGCCTTTATTTATTTATTTATTTTATGTGGTGCCAAGGATCGAACCCAATGCCTCACACATGCTAGGCAAGCGCTCTCCCACTAAGCTACAGCCCCAGACTGAGACCAGGCTATTTTTAAATAATGTAGACATTCTTTTGACCTGTGATCACGGAGAATACAGAAGGTGTAACATGAAATAAATTTCTAAGTGGTGTGTAACCATGTTTATGTGTATTTGCGTGAACAACATGCTCTTCATTGAGGAAACCTGAAATGGCTGAAAATGATGCTACCTTGTTTATGAAAGTCCTCCTTGAGTGCTGTTTTCAGGGTTTGATGTGAAATCCTAATATTGTATTTATTTCCTTTGAGTTTTACATTCCTTGGCTCCAACGTCCTGCCCTGTAAACTTAATCACCTCCCCCTTATTTTCTGGATCTGAACTCAGGTGATGTTTGGCTGTTCATCTGAAAGGGACAAAGGCTTGTGACCATACAGTTCTACAGCAGAGCAAGGGCAAGGCTCATGGCATGGACCCAGCCTAGGCATGGGAAAGCAGCTTTGCAGGTACCTACCCACAGGGTATAGCCTCTGAGCTCACTCTGTCCTCTGAGCTCCCACCACTGTGGGCACATGCCACTCATGGCTTTACGGTGGTTTGCTGTGGGGAGCACAGAAGTAGTGCTTGCTGCCCCCTATCTCTACCCACTCTCAAGACTGACTTGGTTTTCCTAAGCCCTGAAGTTACAGATGGGAAGTCAGTGTGCAGAACTGAATGGCTGTACCTGCTGGAAACATCTACTTGTACTGCAACTGTCTCAAGCTTGTCTCTTCTTCTTCGAATCCTGTGATCTAACCGGGAAGGAGTCTAGAGAAGATTTTTGCTTTGTTGGGCCTTGGCATAATACTAGTGAGGACTTCACAGGATAGGGCAGACAGAGTATTTGTTGCATTTATTTGTTCTATCACTACAGAAAAAGCATTTCAAAATGTGTACAAAAGGATACTCTGTCCCTCCAGTGGTACATCCCTTGATTACAGCTAAACAGAGATAATTTAACATCATCATGGAGGCAGATTGGAAAGATGGCTGCGTTTTTTCTCATTTAGAGTCCTGTGCATGTGTACCTACCCGAAGGGAGGAGAAGAACTAAAGCTGTATTGGACACAAAGGATTTGACCTCAACAATCACCACACAGAATATTATAAAAAAGTGTATTAGAAAGTATTGGAACAATATTGCATATTAATATCTGGTTACACTTGTTCACAGTGAGTGCTCCTGCACCAAAAGCATCTGTACTTTTTTTTTTTCTGATACCTGTACATCTTAAATTTTAAGTTTAATTTTGGTTCATTTTAAAGTAAGAAACATTGAAATGGATATGCAATGAGGGAGATCTGGGTTTTAAATAGGGTTGACCCTTCATTATTGCTGGAATGGAAGAACTGAAGAATGAAGAAATACATTTGCATCATGATGGGTCTGTATAAGTCTAGTTCAACTCGATTTTGTTTTGGCAAGAAGGGGATGTTATGAGAATCACAATGCAGTCCAAACAAAACGAAAGAAGATAAAAGCACAAAACAGAAAAAAAAAAAAAAACCATAAAACAAACCCACATCTCCATAACAGGTAGCTCTCTTTCTCAGTGAAGATTCTAAGATTTATTTATTACGACTGATTCTAAATTTGAAATGGAACATGCTGGTTTCTGAAGCAATTGGTGCTGGGAAATGCCCTTTGGTGATAATGCAATGATAATGCAATGATATTTAGTGACTCTTTCACTAGGACAAGGACACACTCTAAAGTACAAATTACACAGGGAACCTGGGATAGGGAGCATAGTCCAGGCATTCCACAGGAAATAGGGATGACAGGCAGGAGAAGGGAATGAGAACCAGTGCTAGCTGTCATCCACAGCTCAAGCTGCTACTGGTGGAGCCTCCTACCTCTGGTATTTATTTGAAACACAATGGGAGTGTATGGAATGTAGGCACACTTCAGTACACAGCCGTACTTGAGACACACACTCATGCCATCATACAACAGAACAAACCACAGAAGAAAAAGTGTGAGGTCATGCAAAATCCTACTTTTACCAGCTAGAAGAAAAACTTCAGCAACTTTTGGTACAGAATATGGCCACCTTTCAAACATAATTTAATTACTCGTTGACATAATATGAAACCTTACTTTAAATACAATAGTTTCAAAATATGCTGTTACAATATAAAACCACAACAAAAGGTGTGCAAATAGACATTTATATTGGCTATAAAAGGCAGTGAGAGGAAGGGGCAAAGCATTTTAGAAAAGAACTCTCGTGACCACTATTTACAGTTCTGGCTTAAGCCTTGCTTGAATGCCATTAGAAAAAAAAAAATAACTCCCTTCAACCAATTGAATTTCTGGGATGCATCAAAATGGAGAGGGTAGGTAAAATCTGCCAGCAAACTGGAAAGCTAAGAAGGTTCTCAGCTTGAGTATATGAATTTGGATAAGGCGTGTCTGTCTCTGTAACTGCATATTGACCAAAGCCATCCACAGCCCTGGTTCTTCCATCTCTTCCTTCACTCAATGCATTGGTGTAGCAGAGACTAAATTATTACAATTACAATTTTGTTTATTTCCAGTTTCAAAATGCTATACTGTTCTGGAAACAAAAGAAATCCATGACTGAAACATGACATCTTTCTGAACTCTGTCCTTTCAATGAAACTCAAGTGCACATGAGGAAGTATATTTGTGAACACTGAAAGGGAATAACTCACGTATAGAATTTATAATCATTCTAAAGGAGAACAAGTCCAACTTGAGATTGCTGACTGGGAAAAGTCTTCAAAGTGCTTTTTATCTTTGGAAAGCTGCCCAGACCTTCGACTGGTTTAGAATTCATTTAGATCAGTGGTTCCCAATTAGAGGTGATTTTTTTCCCCCAGTGGAACATTTGGAAATGTCTGGAGGCATTTGTCAATGTCAACTGTGGGTGCTGTGGGCATCTACTGGGCAGTGACCAGGGATGCTGCTAAATATTCTACAGTGCCCAGGACCAGTGCTTATCCAGCCTAAAATGTCAGTGGGGCTAAGCACTAAGAATCTCTGGATTAGACTAAATGTTGAGTTACTAACATACAATTTCCTCTCTGTTTCTACAAGTTTATGTGGACTTTGGACAGTTCTGGTGAAGACAAGTACTGTAAACATTTAAAACTGTATGCTTTTTTTTTTTTTTTTTTGGCTGAGGTGGTAGAGAGTAATGACTTTAATGGTATGATTAATCTTGAGGAAGACCAGAGAAATGAGTGTGGAAACTGGAAGAAAGCTTTGGTTTCTGGGAAGTTAAAAAAGAATTAAGGTCCAAATTTTAGGACAAGTATTTAAAATGTAGTGATAGGTTTGGGGCCATTACAAGTATGGAAAATGACAAAGCAGAGTTTAGGGATCCCCAGATTTGCCCACAGGGACACTGAGCTCCTCCCACCTGGCATCAAGCCTCAAGAGATTCATCTGGGCAACATTTCCAACCTCAGAAGGTGAGAAGCAGTCTAAGGGCTCTCCAATCCTTCCCCTCTCCCTTTGCCTAGGGAAGCCCTGTACCACACTCTTTCCTGATTTATTTTCCTATGTAGAATATGACAATATTAACTTTTACAAAGTGCAGTCTTTCTGCTCTGGATGCTGGTGGCCCACGTCTTTGGTCTCACCATGGGTTGCTGGTCCTGCTGCTCACCGTTCAGTTTGCTGGGATGGCACACCTCTCCGGTTCTACCCACTCTTCTGGGGACTTGGATTATACCTGGGTGCATGAACCCCCATGCTTAGCACAGGGACTGCCATGCTCCTTCCCATGCACTGGCTTGTTTTACTGAACTCTTTCTGAAAATCCAGACTAATTGGAGAAGTGGGGGATGCTAGGAAGCCACAGGTGAGGGAATTTTGGCTAGCAGTCTACAGAAACGTCTAGGAAGATAACAGTTCTCAATGCTCCTGATGCAGTCCTGCCTCTAACAATAAAAATCTCGTTTTCAAAAGCAAATCATATCCCAATCAATCAACTAAAAAAGACCAAAAAAAAAAAAAAAAAAAAAGCCTCCTAAAAATCCATACCCCAAATTACAGGGTCCGTGAGGCCCATGCTGCCAGCAGGAGGGTGGGTGAGGGAGGCAGTCCTTGTGCTTTCTGGGTGGGGTGGGCTGCAGCTTTAGCTCATGTGGAAACGGTGCTCCCCCCTCGTGATGTGGGAGGAGAACTCGTACCTGTCCTGGCTGTGGTAGCCGCACATGTTGCACTCGAAGGGATCGCGAAAGCCATGGCAGCCCATGTGGATGGTGTACATGACGTGATCCAGGAAGAGCACCCGGCAGTGTTCGCACTTGTACACCTTCACCTGCTCGCCGCTGGTGCTGACCACGCGGAAGGCATCCTGCGAGTTCTCGGAGGCCGCCCGCAACACCTCGTAGGCCCGCTGCTCCTCCTTGAGGGCCAGCCCGTTGCGGGCATGAGGGTTGATGTGGTTGGTCAGATAGATGAGGCCGCCGCGCTGCTCCTCCGTGTTGCTCTCCGTGTCCGTCGAGTCTTGGCAGCTGTTGCTCGGGGAGGCCTCCCGCTCCGAGGAGGCCGACTTGGCCTTGGACAGCAGCAGCAAGTTCTCCACGGCACTGTCCTGAGCAGAGTGGTTAGACCTCGGGGGGCCCTCCGAGGGGGGCTTGTGCAGCTGGTACATGGGGCTGATGACGGGGACCACCTCAGAGCCCCCCGGAGGTGTCTGCACCAAGGGGCGCAGGGACTCGGCCCCCAGGTAGTTGATGGCATTGTTGATGGCCTGGTCCATCACGTGGGACGTCATCATCTCGTTCTCCTTCTCGTAGCTGGTACTGCTGTCATAGGGCATTTCTGACAGGCACTTTTCCCCTATGGAAAGTAGGTGACAGTGAGTGTTCGAGGGGGTGGACTACCAGCTAGGCCCTGCAAAACACACCATCCCCAGAGGAGGGGAGGCTGAGTGAAGCATCTGCCTGTTGGACATCTCCCCCAGGGTCCTACCATAGTAGGCACTTAAAGAAATCTGTCTGGATAAATCCATAAATGAATAAAGGAACCAAAGACTATCTGTGTCAATTTAAACTGCACATTTCAATAGACTAATACTTGTCTCTTTCATTAAACCTAAAATTAAACATTATGTTTAATTTAAAATCAATCTTTTAAATGATGCGTCTTTAGTAGAGAATTCTAACTAATTTATAATAACTTTATCATAAATGTGTTCAAAATACATAATAATTATGATTTATTCATCATATGCAATAATTATTTAAAATAGTATTATGCATATTAAATTCATACGTTTAATAATCTAGAATAAAATGTAATCAAATACACAGCGATTGAATATTATTTATAATAAAGTTATACATGTCTTATAAATAACGCAAAGGAAAGTGGGTTCCAACCTGTGATGAGTAGAAAGGATACTTAAGACTAATTATTCTGGGGCTGGGGTTGTAGCTCAGTGGTAGAGAGCTTGCCTCGCATGTGGAAGGTACTGGGTTCAATCCTCAGCACATAAAAATAAAATAAAGGTATTGTGTCCATCTACAACTATTAAAAAAAGACTAATCATTCTCTGCATCCTTCTTCTTTTACAGTCAGCAGCAGTGAAACACGGAGCAGCAGAAACATGTGGTAGAAAGTAGGAGGTGAACTGAGGAAGTTGCAGGGGAGAATAGCAGGTCTTTCATTTATTCTTCAAATATGTACCAAGCCCTCCTGACGTACAGGGAACTACTGCTGAGAACTCAGTGGTTATTGGGCCTTGATCTCTAGGAACTTATGATGTCATATCATCAGTTTGTAGGAGTAGATGAACTCTGCTATACTCTTGATCTTGAATGTCCACAAAGGCCCATGTGTTAAAGGGTTAGTCCCCAGTATAGCATTATTGAAAGGTGGGTGCACCTTTAGGAGGTGGAGCCTAGCCTGGTCAGTGGTGCAAGCCTGTAATCCCAGTGGTTTGGATCTCCAGTTCAAAGCCAGCCTCAACAAAAGCAAGGCCTTAAGCAAGTCAATGAGACTCTGTATCTAAATAAAATAATAGGTCTGGGGTCGAGCACCCTTGAGTTCAATCCCTGGTGCCCCCCACCACACAAAAAAAGAGGTGGAGCCTAGTAGGAGAATCACAGACCACTGGGGTGGGGAGAGGCTCTTGAAAGGAATAGAGGGATCCAAGCCCTCTCCTCTTCTTTTCTTTTACTTACTGATCATGAGGTGAGTGGATTTTCTCTGCTAAGTGCTCCTATCTTGAACCTTTCCATAGACCCAAGCAGAGGGGCCAATCAGTCTTGAAATAGAACCTCCAAAACTGTGGGTCAAAATAAACCTTTTTTCTTTATAACTTGATTATCTCAAGAATTTCATTATAATGATGGGGAACTGACTAATGCAAGTTCACTTCCCCTGGTAATTGTGAAATCTGAGACTAGATTTAGCTTTATGTAATAAGCTTTGGAGTATACAGTCTAATAATGAGATAAAATTAAAGCACACCTTTTCAATATATTGTTTTTTAAGTCCAGTATGAAATCATGGCTTAATTAGCCAATTCATTGATAAAAGCAACACTTTTGCACTCTTACTGCCTGGACCACTGACTTGGGTTACATCCAGTGATGGAAATGAGTAAGTCAGATCACATGAGGCCACCTATGGCAATGTCTGAGCTCTTTTCATTTTATTCTTCATTCTGTCTCCTTCCTTTCTTCAACACAACTGAGTGCCCAGTAGGGATGAAAGGTAAGGAAGTGAAAATGTTGCCTGTCCTCAGCAGCACACAGAGAGCAAGTGGCACACACATTAAAGCATGATGGTCCAAATAATTCATCCCTAAAGGAAGGCTTGCCATGGAAGTATAACTCATGACTCTTCCTTTTGTTTGGTATCAGGATAGAACCTAGGGGTGTTTAACCACAGAGCCACATCCCCAGGCCTCTTTATATTTTATTAGAGACAGGGTCTTGCTGAGTTGCTTAGGGCCTCACTAATTTGCTGAGGTTGGGTTTGAACTTGCAATCCTCCTGCTTCAGCTTCCTGAATTGCTGGGATTATAGGCATGCACCACCGTGTCTGACTCACTCAGAATTCTTATCTCATAAGAGGCAGCCAGCTGAGTGAGCTTTTGTGTCTTGGCACTGGGACAGCCAGAGGGAAGGGAGGAAAGAAGGGGCCTGGAGATTTGATGAGACCCAGTGAAGGTCTAGGGGCCAGAGTCCTGGGTGCAGGCATGGTATCAGAGTGGTAGGCAGGAAAGGCAGGGTCTGCTAGACAAAGTAGAGACCATCCAAAGAAAAACAGAAGCCACTGAAGGGTTTGAAGGAAGAAGTGGACTTTCCAGTCACTGTGGAGAGAACAGACTTCACAGATACATGTGCGGTGGTGACCAGGACTCTCCTCAGGTTATGGGTTATGGTTAATGGTAGCTAGTGAGGGTGGTGGCAGAGTGGAATCCCAATATGCTCTCCATTTTACCTGTGGTTCTCACCTTCACCTGAGCTACTCCTTACTAGCTTGTAAATTTACAGATAGTCCTTTAAACAGTCTGTGACCATTAAGGAGTGACCAGGAATATATGCCCTATTGTACTAAGAAGTCTCCTTAGGTTGCATTCCTTATTCTTAATGGACATGCATCATGTAACAACTTAGTTTCATTTGTTACCCTCTATTGGTGGTCAGAAGTGGCACATGCCCTGATAACATACAATTTGATCCTACAGAAAGAAAACTTGTCTGTGGCCAGTGACACTCTCTCAGAAACTGGACAAAATGAAACTTTTTGGCCATTAATGGTAGGGACCAAAGTAGTAGTATTTCCCTTCATCCAAGGTTAGACATAATTGTATAGCCAGTCCTGAAACCGTGCACATTTCTTGTTTTTTTGTGTTGAGGTTCTATATGCCTTGTTCCACTAACTCCAGAATAGAGTGAACTTACTCTGGTGTGTACCCAAGTCTATCCTCCTAACAAATCTTGGCAAAGAGAGGAGGGGAGTGGGCTTGGTACTCAATTCTGCTAAATGTAAGTGTGTAGCCACACCAAAATTGGTGCTTTCTCATGGAAACATCTTGTTTCTTCCCAAAGTCGTGGTTCTCTGGTTACCTAAGTAACCACTGAAGTCTGTTGTTTTAAAGACTTGGTATCAACAACAAATAGGTATAGGAAAAACAAACAAACCTATATCCCAGATATTATGGCATATTTGAAGCTACCCATGGAATTACTCTTCCTTAATATACAACACAAGGAGAAAAATAAAAATCAATGAAATTTACCAACAACCATCAGCTAAAGAAAAACACATTCTAATGAGATATCTCTCTTTCTCTCCAAGGAAAGAAACAAAATTCTTGCATGAGATAGAGGAAAAGCTCAGCTTTTAATCTCATTTCTGAAATGCTTAGGTATTAATCAAACCACAAGTTCAGCATTTTCCCTAATATCCTCATATTTACACAGAAACGATTCAAATAAGCATCTGTTTCCTCTTCTGATCAAGAACTGTTGAACCCTCTGTTAGCAAGAACCAGATGACACTGGAGAAGTAAGCAGATAGGCTGGTTCCCTTGGACAGAAGGAAGACATTAATGATTTAGGCCGCTGGAGAAGATGGCCCAAAGCCCCCAAAGTGTCCCCTGTGGGGACAGGAGGCACTATAGTGCTGCTGGTTTAGGGAATTTAACCAGATCTCAAAACAAGAGAGAGTGAGCCAAGGGAACATCTTCTAACAAAGGCAGCACTTTGCCTCACCTGAACTCCCCCAACCCCATCCTTGGCATTTTTTCAGGATTTAAAAACGTCGATAGCTCTCAAAGGAAAAAAAAAGTCTCAGATACAATGGGAAGAACGTTGAAACATCAATCAAGTTATATCAGACCAAGTAGAATAAGCGAGATGAAAAGGAATGTCAGGGTTACTATGAAAATATTTTCTAGCAATACAAGGGAAGAAAGAAAGTAAGACAAATCAAGTCCATCCTAGGGAACAAAAACCTAATTCAAGGAGATGAAATACCTCATAATTGCTTCATGACATGAAGTCAATGTTTAAAAATTGAGTTTTAACATTCAAAATGAACAGAATAAAAGGAAAAAAGGGAACGAATGGAAGGAAAAAGGGAAAAAAATGAATGGACTTCAGATTGGGACAGTGAAGTCCAAATCAGTATTATTATCCATTTAGTAGATGAATAAGAAACAGCAAGTTAATAAAACAAAATGTGCTAAAAATTGAATTATTGACTTAAAGGGAAAACACAAGGTAATAACAGTGAATAAATATTTAAAGACAAAGAAATAAAAATAAAACTTAAGGATATGCTAACAGATATGGAAGACAAATTATTCAATATAAGGATAACTGGATCCCTAACTAGAGATCATAACAAATAAATATAAAAGATACATAAAAGTGTATTGCTAAGAAATAAAGAGAGAAAGAGGGAAACTTCAAATTAAAATGGTAGAAAATTTTTACTTGGATGCAAAACACCAGAATGCATCCCAGTTATGGCATGTGACTTTAGTAAAGAAAGAGCTCTCAAGACATTTAGGGAAAAATGAAAATTGCTATAAAGAAAAAAAGGACACCAGACTTAGATATCTCCATAGCAATATTCAATAAGTAATTTCAACATGGCATGATCTAGAATTCTCAGAGAAAAGAGGAAGAGTTGCCCAAGAAAAAAAAGGAAGAGCCACCAAGGTCTGTCAGGATGCTCTCCTGGTACAGGGGTGACAGGCAGACATTCTCATACACAGTGATGGAGGGAATGGATTAGCTGTGGAACCTTTCCCAAAAGGTTGGTTGAATGTCAAGTCTACTCCATGAAGAGATTAACTGAAATAAAGAGAAATAGTGGCAAAAGGACTGGGCCTGATTCTTGAATCTGTTTAAATATACAGATGGTAATAAATAGCTAAACTATTGTGTCAGTAATGATTATAAGAGCAGATGTAAATATTTTGAGGTTGGACAATGTAAAAACAATAATATAACTGTGAACATTGGAAAGTGGAATAATATCCTTATTTCTCAGACAGAGAGAGCCCAAGTGCAGGACACACACACACACACACACACACACACACACACAGAACTGGGGACTGAGCTTTTCTATTTTTTTATTTTGAGATGGGATCTTGCTAAGTTGCCCAGGCTGGTCTCAAACTTCTGATCCTCCTGCCTCAGCCTCCCAAGTTGCTGGAATTAGAGGTGTACACCCCTATGCCCAGCCATAATAAATATTTAATCTTAGAGTAATCCTTTAAAAAATGATATTCCCATCTGAATATTTAATTGGAGATCAGCCAGTCCTCCATTTTTATCTGGGTTCTTTATCATCTCTTAAATTTAAAATGTGTTTAACATGATAGAGTCTTTATGAAGGTATTTATTTCACATCTATCTTGATCCACCTATTCATCACCTTATTGACTCATATATAGGAGAGAGAAAAATATTTAATATTGGTAATTTATGGATGTTGGGTTTTGTGGTGATTTAAACACATTAATCTTTGCATCATTTTTTTACTATAACCATGTATCATTTTAATAATACAACAGGGTGTCTTCTTCTTGTAAAAAAGAAAATATGCCAAGATAGTTTATGAAGATTAGCAGGAATATTGATCATCATTATTTTCCTCTTTGTGATTTTTGCATTTTAAAAATGTTCCCATCCCAATCACCATACCGACTTAAGAAAAAAAAAAAAAAAAAGAATGAGCACCACTATTTAACATAAACTCCTTTTCCTCACTGGATTCATTGATCCTATTGACCATTTCAGATGATCTTAGAGGGCGGGCTCTTTGATGGATATAATAGTGAGGAATGTTGCTAGAAAAACAAATACTTCTTCATACTCTGCCAAGATTTGATTTAAAATTTTTAGTCATAGCTCCTGTATCAATAATTTCAACTTTACCATTCTGAGCAATATGCAACATGAAAATAACACCATCTTAACCTTTTCAATGTGCTTTCTAGTGTTGAAAGTACTGCTACATGTAGTATCCCTGATGATCCTCAAAACTGCTCTGGGGAGGGGGAAGGGATGCAGACCCACCCCATTTCAGAGATGGTGACACCAAATTTAAGACTGCTCAAGACCAGCTTCCGGTCACCTGACAGGCACAGCTGGACCTGCACCCTGGAGCAACTGGACCAGAGCTCTTGCAACTGCACCATTGCTGGACCAGCAGGTAATAAATAGCTGGATTCCTACTCTCCTTCTTAGTTTACCTGAAGGATAAACAGCATTCTGGAGGTAAAGAAGGGATCTTTGAGATCCATCTCCCTTGGAGAATCTGTGACAAGTTAGGAATAGTTGATGGCAATGTGCGAGAAGCACAGTTTCAGACTTGAACTGCCAATCACCAAGTCCCAGGGAAACAAGAGAAGCCAGAGAAGCTGTGAGGCCTTCCTTCCAGACTCTGCTTCTGCTACCCTGGTCCAGCTGTTCCTATGATGCTTCTTCCTCCTGTGTTAACCTTTCCCCTGAAGCCTTCACTCTCATCTGAGCTTTACTCCCTTAGAGTACTTTTTTCCCCCTTCTTCTTTTTGGTCTCATTTTTGTTTTATCCTTTGAATAGAGAGGCATGTGAATCAGAACAACATCCACACTGGTCTCACTGGGGTGGCTATGGTAGAATTTCACAGATGTTCCAATTGATTTGATGTCTCCAAAATCTAAAGCAGTTGTGCACTTATTAGATCATATGGCATTCTCCAGGTCCCTAAATTGAAAGAGGAAGTCATATCCTACTTCCCAGGGTCAGTAACTCTTCACAACCCTTGGACACACTTGCTGCTTCCTCTCTGCCCATCTTCCGGGTTGCTCCATCAAACCCTTGCTCACTGCCTATGTCAGGAGCCTCCCAGTGGTGCTTCCTGCCCAGGGAAGGAGCTGGGGACCCTGCACTTGGTGCTACAGAAGTCTCATTCACTCTAACAGCTTACCTCATTCAGCCCAGCACTTTGCTCCTACTCTGCTCAAGAAATGAAGAGTCTCCCTTGCTCTCACAGTCATACAGCTCACAATTACATCATCCCACAAGGTGTCTCCAGGTAGAATTTTTACTCATTTACTTATTTTTAAACTGAATATTTTCCTGCCCTGTTCTCCCAACCACCAATTTATGACAAACCTCTATTTAATCAATAGATCAAAATGAAATCCTACTGGGTGTGGTGACGCCTGTAATCCCAGCAGCTTGGTAGGCTGAGGCAGGAGGATCTTGAATTCAAAGCCAGCCTCAGCAACAGCGAGGCACTAAGCAACTCGCTGAGACCCTATCTTAAATAAAAATACAAAATAGGGGATGTTGCTCAGGGTCGAGTTCAATCCCCAATACTCCTCCCAAATAAAATGGAACCCTATTTAAAGCTGCAAGAAGGAGGCTGTTGCCCAAGAATTTTACCTCCCCTCTATCCTTTTCTTCTTCCTGCAGTGCCCTCTGGGGCCCCAGGCTTCATTAACTACTCTTCTAGCTCCATCCCCTCTCCCAGCAACAATCTCTCATGGGCCACTCACTGAACATGGTCCTTGAAAATTAGCACATAAAACTAGAATTCCCTCTCATTCTAGCACCTGGATTTATCTTTTCTGCAAATGGTATACTACTCTACTCTAGACAGTGAAACCCACTGTTTCCTTCACCAAATCCCTGCCCTCACCCTCCATTTCTCTTTCACCAAACCTCCCTCCTGTCTCTGTTGATGCCATCACTCCCTCACTTTCCCTTTTCCAATCCATTTCTGGTCCTTGCTCTCTTTCTCAAGCTCCTATTAAAAACACGTCCATGCTTTTCCTGCCTTCTGAAAGAGGGCACATCTCTCACATTGGCATGCAAAGGCCATTCACCACGTGGCCAGAGCCTTCTGGGACAACTTCACTTTCATTGCTTCCTGGGTACATGAACTAAGGCAGAAATACGCCTGCTCCTCCATCATGACCCAGGAACCCCACTCCCTCCCCCTCCACCACTGCCATTTCGTTATCTTTATCTGTCTGTCTAGAACCCTGCCCTACTCTTCCAAATTCTATAATGTGCTGAAATCCTACTCCTCTCTCTCACATCCCTCTCATCTTCATGAATCTTCTACTGGTCATCTTTCCTGGACATGACTCTTTCCAGGATAATAGTTGAGAGGATTTCTAAACCTTCTCACATCCTTGGGGTCATGCTATGTGCACAATAACTCTGTGAGTCACATAAAAATAGAAACAAGGGGCTGGGGTTGTGGCTCAGTGGTACAGCACTTGCCTAGCATGTGTGAGGCACTGGGTTTGATTCTTAGCACTGCACATAAACAAATGAATTAAATAAACGTTCATCAACATCTAAAAAAATATTTAAAAAAAAAAGAACCAAGGCTTGGGGAGGCTGAGTCATTTTCTGAGGCCACAGGGTTAATGAGCGGCCCTGTACTGACCTTAGGCTGGTCTCTGATCCTAATGAATGCCACTGGGACACCTGCCTCAATGTCCTCCTTGCCCTTCCAGCATCCAGCCTGGATGACAGGTATGGATGTATCTTTCTATCATCTACACTAGGCAACAGCTTCTCAAGGAAGAGGAGCCTCACTCTGCATATTTCTTCCTCTTAAGGAATGAATGCTCAAAATAATAGTCCTAGCTGTATCTCCCTTTCACTAGGCACCTCTCAGGGGCCAGTTGCTGTGCGATTCCTCTTATTAACTCTCATGGTCCCCCCGCCAAGGGGAGCGCTATGGGCTTCTTGTGAAAAGTGGGAATCTGAAGCTCAAAGAGGGTATTCAGGCATGAGGGGGGTCTCACTGTGTGATGGGCCTCCAGGCTCTTGATCCTAGGCATACTAACCTGGCCACCCTCAAGAGAGACAGTGACCCCAGGCAGATCACACCAAGGGCCCCAGATGCTTGCAAAATCACATCTAAGAAAAACTGGTGGGAGAGGGAGGTCAATATAAAGAAACTTATTGGAAAAAATTTCTAAGACATATTAAGCTTACCACTTTTTGCTTTTCAAAAACTAAGATTTTTTTTCCCTTTCTTCTACCCTCAACTAATTTTCTCTTGAGTCTACAATACCCACAGTTATTTTTTTTAAGAGAGAGCAAACATTTTAACTCTTACCAAGGAATTTTTGAGGCATAGAGCTCTTACGTCTGGCGACGTTACTTGCTAGTCTGTCCAGCACGAGGGATCTCTCTGATCCTATCTTGCACAGGTCTTCTGCCATCTCACTGTGATTAGTTTCTTCTTTAATGACTAAAGTCAAAGACAGTTAGAGAGGCCAGTTTAGAAAGGCTTAGATTTAAAGGAGTCTGTCATGTCCAGTGTTACATCTGACATTTGTTAAGTGCCTAAGAGAGCCAGGACATTCCTAATTATGATTATGACTAATCTTCCCAGCAACCCTGCCAGACAGACAGAGACTTGGCTATAATAATGTCAAAGACCAGCCACCTGCTCATGCTCCTTCCTATAACCACACTTCATCCCCAAGACCAAAAGAATAATTACCACCACCATCACCCAGGGCTGGGCCTAGATTAGGTAATTGTGTTCCTCTGAAGAGTCCTTCTAACCTTTCAAAATACAAATCCACAACCTCAATCCATCCTAACAATAGCCCTCTGAGAATCAAAAAACTTTCAGATCTAAAAAAGACTTAGGACTTTGACTCCACTGACTGGCACAGAGAATTAAGATGCAGGAACATGGCCATTTGGGATCCTTTGGCACATCTTGGCAAAGTGGGGGCAGAACCCAGACCTCCTTATCCCTGAACACAGAGCAGACTCTTGGTAGTCAAATACCATCTGCACACTTTGAAGACAGAGATCCTGAAGGCAAATGCTTATGAAGGCTTTTTCTAGTCCATCTCTCTTTTTCTATATTACCTCTTTTCATAATTGAAGATACAGCTTTGCATCCTGCATAATAACATCTATTGACTTCTAGTTTTTATGGCTGGGATTTTTGAAATACAACTCTTTCATGTCCCTGAAATTTAACCCAATGTTTAAGGAAAACATAAGCTGCCCACCTTCCACATATCGAATCAATTCCCCCAACACCCATTCTGCTTTATGCTCCTTCTCAGGTACTTTGTGTTGATTATCACAAGGTCTTTAGGTGTATTCATTTCTAATATTGATTTACCTGTATATTCTTCAAAGAGTTCTACACATTATAGCCACATTTTCATATAATGCTAGACTTGCCTATTTTTTTCCAGATTCATATGTGGTTACCTAACTCCAACAAGATTTACAAAGCAATTTTATATTAAAACCATGCCTTTATTTGGGGGGATGTCCATGGATAGTGTCCACACTGCTGTCCCTCTGCAATCTTCCACACTCTTTCTTGCCTTGTTGTGGTTTGGTCACTTTCTTTGCTACAAGGATTCCCAAGTATTTTATGTCTTTATTGGTATTATGAACACTACTTCAAAAACCCATGTTTTGGATGATATTGCTGATGTATTTATTTCATTTTCTAACAATGGAAATCTGTGAATCAAATAAGTCAAGGTGTATAGCCCACACCCCAATTTATAGGAAGGATATATATAAATCCATAAAACCCAATGCTACCGATTTTATACTTCACCTATCTAATTAACATGCTCATTTAAATGATCCTCCTCTGTAAAACAGGCCCAGTGACCTGTCTGCAATGCCCTCACGTCTCATATGGGATTTCTCCTGACCATACCACAGGCTTTGACCCCCAGAGCTGACCGCAGTAAGGGAAACGTGAACCTAAAGCTCTAGAATCTCTAGCTACATCATCCTTACTTACTCCTCAATTTGTGTTCTTGAGGTTCAAGAAACACTTATTTTTTCCATAAAGATATTAGGAAATTGCAACAGGTGACCAAAAGCCTTTTACTAAGGAAAATTATAGTCAGAAAAATAAATCTTACTTTACATTCTTTAAACTAGCCATTGTATTTACTTAATGGACCCAACTGAACAGGGGCTGGGGAGCCAAGAGATTACTCAACAGTCCCTCTGAGCACTGATGAGGGCTGATCTCTGAGGGATGTGGGGGACAAGAGAGGGGGGAAGCCAAAGAAGGTGCAGGTTCAACTGGCCCTGGCACAGCACAGCTGACATGACCAAGACCTCTGCAGGGAACTCCCCTGCCCTCCCAGTCCTGCACGTAGTCTAGCATTTAACTTTCATGAAAGTTCTTTTGATGTATCCTCTCAATGCTGCAAATTCCTTAAACTAGCACTTACTGTATGCCTGCAAGGGATAGGTGTCAACAATGGTAAAATAAAGCTATCTTTGGCTGCCCGAAGGCACACTGTTAAAGGCTTAGTCCCCAGGGTGACACTGGTGGGAGGTAGTAGAACTTTTGAGAGGTAGGGTATTAAGTGAGCCTTAGGTCACTGGGGACATGCCCTCAAAGGGCACTGTGGGGCTCCAGACCCTTACTTCCCTGCTCCCCTGGCTCATGGTGATGTCATGATTTGCTACTTTGCCATAGGTCCAAAGCATGAGGCCAACCAAGACCTGACTGGAAGATACAAAAATGCAAGACCCGAACTTTTGTCTTTGTACATTGATTACTTTTGACACTTTATTTGATATATCAAGATATTAGGAAATTGCAACAGGTGTCAGAAAGCTCATATACACACATACTGGCTAAAGATATTTAAATTTTGCTGCACATCTTTAACAAAAGGCAGGAAAACCTCAATGTCATTAAATGCTAGCACAGCTGGCTCTGTCTGTGGCCACATTGAGATCAGATGACTGCATCTTTCTAGAGGAGCCTTCACACCTATTGAGAATAGGGACATGAGGCCATTACTGTATTGTTCCCCATTACCTGACCACCAATGGGAACAGATTAACATTTTAGGCTAAAACTGATTCTCACCACATGGAAACATGAAATAACTCTCACTGGCACACCAGCTTACTGACAAAGACATCAATGGAGAATCAAGTTGGAGGTGTCCATCCATCAGAGACTTCAACTTCTCTGTTGAGATAAGTCTGGTATGGACATCTAGGCTGCTTGTTCTCATATCTACATGTTCTCTTGTGCTTTTCTTGGGACTGCTTTGAGGATGACCAGACAGGCACTATCACTCACATTTAAAAGATGAGGCCTGGTGATGTGGTTTGGAATGTTTCCCAAAGGCACATGTGTGGAAAGCTTGGTCCCCAGCTGGTGAAGCTATTGGGAGATGGTGGAAACTTTAAAAGTTAGGGCCTAGTTGGAGATAGCAGGTCACTGGGGATGGTGGGGTATGCCCTTGAAGCCTGTATCTTGTCCCTAACCTCTTCCTCTATCTTCTAGTTCCCTGGTTGCTGTGAGGTGGGCAGCTCTGCTCTACCATGAGCTCTCTGCCATGATGTTCTGTCCTATCATGGGCCCAAAGCAATAGGGGCAAAATGACCATGGACTGAAACCTATGAAACAGCAAGCCAAAATAAATCTTTCCTCCTTTCAGCTGATTTTCTTAAGTGTTTTGTCACAGCAACGGAAAGTTGACTAACATATCCGGATTGCATTAAGAAACAGATTCAGCAATGAAACTCAATCCTGGGTCTCGTGAAATGACTGTTGTTTCTCTCCTGAAAAACAGCTCACAGGCTGCTGTAGGTGACAGCTTGTTTCTTTAGCAATGAAAAAGGGTGGAAGAAAGAGACAACACTATGCACTAGGTCTGTTTATTCCACTGGTTTTGTCTTAGATCTCTGTCTACATCAGATTATTTTATTCAACAGAGCTTGGTATTGCAGTTAATAAATCCTCAGTAAATATTTGTTGAGTGTATAAAATGGCTTACTAAACATTAGTGTATAAATTACATCATTAGGACCACTTGTTTCCAGAACCCATTAATTAATATTTTTTTACAGAAAAATAAAGTATCTGAGTATTCACATTTTATTTAAAAAAATATATTCTCTTCCCCCATTCTTCTATCTTAGGGCTGGCCAAAAATTGATAATTGTTAAATTACCATTAAATTATTATTATTTTTCCATTCAGTGTCTCATTTTCCACTCACTCTCAATGCCTCTCCAACCTAGACCTTAGATTTTGAAGAAAGGTAAATGATAATGTCATTGAATTTTTCCATTTCACAGGTGAAAAGACTGAGGCCCAGAGAAATCATGGGCCTCAGGTCCACAGCAGATCAATAAGAGGGACCACACTAGACCACACCATCTCTTGCCATGTGATAAGTTAATGCCAAGACTAATCCGAATTAGGACTTCTGACCATTCTTTTCTCCTGCTCTCATCTGCCATTAATAATCTGAGTGTACTCTGATGAATTTTCTTTTATAAACTAATTGTCACAACATTGAGTGAGGCTTAGAAAATTTGTAACCATTAATTTGATTTCTACCCTATAATCTAATGATTACTAAATGAATAGTGTTTTGAAAGAGCTTAACTTCATTTGATCTATTTATAAATCTCTAATCTCTTATGAAGTCAGAAGAGAACCTTTTATAACACTGCCACTCCTCTGAGTAAATCAGCCTTCTTCAGTACTTTCCTTACATCTTTCACTTTGCATTATCTAAAGACTTGAATCAAGTGCTATGTCGTTATGCAAAATACATAACACAGTTCAGGAGACAAATTCAACTTCCTCTACTTCCTTGACAGCCTCAATACTACTGACTGTCAGGGTCTACCAATAAGCTTTGCCCTCACATTCCTGGCAGGTGTGGATACTCTGCCCTTGATCCAAACCTATGATGGAAATCATAGGTTGGAAGTGATATGATGGAAATCACAGTCTGGAAGTCCATATTTGATCAACTTAATAAAAAATAGATTTTAAACCAGATTTCATATCTTGTTCCAATTATTAAGTACAAAGAAACAATTATTACTCTAGACTTTTCTGTGCTTTCGTTTTTTTGCTGTGCTGAGGATCAACCCTAGGACCTCACGCATGCTAGGCAAGCACTTTATCACAGATCTACAGCCCCTGCCCACGACTGCAGATTTGAAAAAAGAAGTCAAAACCACACAAAAACAAAAAAAAACATAGCACAAATCAACACCTAAAAAACCAAAAATTTTCATGAGCCACTACTGTTTTAGGTGTTTCTACAGATTTGAACAGGGAGGGTGTTTTAAGACAAGCTCTATCTGGTCAGACCTGAGAAGTGGAGAAGAAGAACATGCTCCTAGTGAAATTGCAATGTTATTGGTCAAAAAGTTCCCTCTCAGCCATGGTGGGTAGCAGGCCCACAGCTCTGCTCCTAGGGCTGTTCATGCACAGTGCTGGGAGGGAGAGAAATCACGTCCAGCCTCGGAGCTTCAGCGCTTACCTGGGTACAGCGTGCCTGGAAGGCCCATGCTTTCCAAGTAGTTGTGGCATCGCTCTTTATGTTCCTCTAAAGAGCTTCGCTGTTTATAGCTTCGGCCACAATATCCACATTTGTGAGGCTTACCAACTGCAGAAAACACAATTGAGTTCAAGACCCCAATTAAATGCTGGCCTTCTGTGTCTTGGCAATGCATGCAATACAATTCTTACCAAAAAAAAGTAAAAAAAAAAAAATATTCTACTCTTGAGAGCTAAAAGCATTATGGACTCAGTCAAAAATTACTGAACTTAAAAATGTTAATGTGCAGGGAAGTACTTGACTGTACCAAGAACTCATGTGACTCATGTTTCTTCTTAATTTGTCTATTGTATTGACTATCAAATTCTCTCCTCCACGAATCACTGACACCTGTCTTTTAACTGGAAAAAAATCAAACCACTGGAATGTTATAGTGTGGATGCCAAATAACTGGACAAAAAATAAATGAGGAAGGCTGGGTAATCTATGATTCACCCCCAGTCAAAGGCTTCCTGTCCAATTCTATGATGTAGGCCAGGTCTGGTGCAACATAGGGGCTATATCTAGTGTGACTAGGGTGAATTTAATTCAGGAGGCTAAACTGGATAAATTTATGCTTCAATGAAATGATCATTATATTTCTAGATTGCATTTTATTACATAATGCAAATATATTTTAACTTGCATTATCTATACAAAATATTTTATATAAAGATACACACAACACCTACTATATTTTCCATGAACTGAGTTTACTGTTTTCTCACCATAGAGCATTAGGATAATGTAGGTTTGAGACCAGCCCTGTTTGATATATTCAGGATTATGGAAATGTTTTCTACATGGCTGTCAAAACATGGTAGCCATAGCCCATGTGTCTACTGAAGGTCTGAATTCTGGCTTGTGACACAGATGATAGAAGTTTTAATTTTGTTTAATTTTATATTGCTAAAATTAGAAGACTACTTATGGTTAATAGCTAATGTGTTGGGCAGTGATGTTATGAAATGAGTTTAGCCCTTCTTGGATTTTAGTGAGTGGCATTTTGGGAAAAGAAGACTAGCAAGGAAACCATATCATGCCTATTTAAAGACTTTGATATAAACCATTTTTAAAGATAAAATAGCCAATATTTATTTAATCCTTAAGGAATATAAATTTCTACCCTAACACCAGGATAGGATCTTCCTGCTTGTGCTGTTTGATTTAACATATTTCAAAGTATTCAGGAATATTTGTTTGATAACTGGTTTAACCAATGTATATGTTAATTCAATCTTTTTCCTGGGTAAAATGATGCCATGATTAAAGAAGAGAAATATGAAAACCAAAATTTGACTTGGGGAACATTCAGTAGAGATAACAGGGATCTTTCTTTATCTATAGAAAGTGATGTGTCACCCAACATTAGGAAGTAATGATGAAATATGGAATGTTGCTTTAAAAGGCAATTTTATTGAGTACTATCTTAGAAATTAATAGGATACAGATAATAAATCCATGTTCTTTCCTGGAAAATCTATACCATTGGTGAATTACATTATCAAAATTTCCTCTTGTATAAATGGCATGGTGTCTAGGTATCCATTTTTCTGAGTATATGAGTGATTTTAACTCTGGAATATAAAAAATCATCACTGTAAGCAACTGAAATATATCTCCAGGAACAAAGAAAGTCTTCTAATAAAGGTTGCAACTTTCAAAGAAGGAATGAAGAAGGAAACTGCACCCCTATCCCTCCTGATCCCTCAAACTTTTCTTGATATGAGCATGGGACGAATTCTACAGCTCTAAAAATTCTATAACTAACATGTTGGCATCTGGAACTTCTGGTTACCACTGGTTGCTAGGGATAACTGTGTGGATGACTCTGGCTTTTAATAGAATGAGGGGCATAGACATTCTACAAGAGAATATAATGTGGCTACTTTTGAGTTTGCCAGATAAATTTTGTTCTGTGAAATCTTTTTGAAGAGTCCAAAATTACTGCTTTTTTTTTTTCTTTCAAGAACTCTGTGCCAAAGTCACTTTCAGACAGTAGAATCACCAGTGTCACTGAATCTAGGACAGCTTTCTCCATTTACTCTTTGATGGAATCATAACATAATTAAACGATCGAAAGTCTGCCACCTGTTATACATAATTACTCAGAGACTTACTGAATGAAATAAGCAGGCATGGAGCCAGAATAACATACAATACTGTACTAGATTTTCCTCATTTCACAGGAGAGAAAAGAGAGAGTCATCATCTGAAGTTCTAAGGACTGATATATGCAGGAGATATTTGTATTGCAAATGAGAGTGATCCCAAGATGCTGAGGATATGGTTGGTATCAGCCTCAGAATGAGTCTGTGGTTTCCACCAACTTGGGAAGGTGTGCCTCCTATAAACCTGAGGGCACTATTGCTGTCAACTGTGTCTGTGCCTGTATGACCCCTTGCAAATGATAGACGTGAAGTTGCTTTCTGCTAGGTCACAGCATGCAGTACTGTGGGATGCGCAGATGAACCCTACAGGGGCCTTATTTGTCAGTTTGTCCTTGGCACCACCTCACCTGCAGGAGGGTCCACACATGATCATCACATGTAAACACTTGTAAGTGCTCACTGCCATGGAGTCAGGTCCCTGTCTCAGGAGAGCCTTCTATTCTCCCTATTCCCCTGCAACAAACTACTCCCCAGACTGAGCATGTTCTCTTCCAGGTGAGGAGGTCACAATCCTATTGGCACCCCCTCCTGACCAGCCCATTTTGTTAAGGAGAACAACTCCTCTGCTGGAAACTGCTCCTTTCTTGGCAGGTTTCAAGAAGCTTACCCAAATCATCACAATTTTCTGATTATAAGCCTTTTGGGAACCTCCAGCATGCTCATTACCAGGAAGGAGATGGGAACAGAGAGGGCTCACAGCCTGGGACTCCTCACCCTTTTCTCCAGGTGACTCAGTGAATGCCCTTCCCACAGGGACTACTCACCAGAAGGACCAAGCTCTTGCCAATACTTGCTAAAATGTGTAAACACTTTATTCTAGGATCACTGCAGAATCACACTCATTTAGAACTCCCCTAAAGAAACTCAGAAATGGGCCTTGGGCAGGTATTCAAGCCCTCCCCCTATTGGAATTCTCTCCCTCCTACCCAAACCTACTGTCCACCATCTGCTTTCTGTTCCACTGGGCCCTCGTATGCTCTGCCATGTCCCCTGTGAGACACTGGTGTTTTACTTGTGTGTACCTGCAACCCCTTGGAGACTGAGCACCCTGAGGGGCTCAGTAAATGTGAGACAAAGAGATGGACAGAGGAGAGGTATCTAAAACCTGCACCAGGAAATACACTTGTCACATTTGGGAAGAGGTGGCCTTAACCCTGTAAGTCTTTTGCAAAGAACACATGTCCCCACCTTCTTTGAGGGAGGATCCTCCTTATCCTGCTACTTGGGACAGCAGGGAAAAGCTGTTCTAAGGCATTCCCCCATAGCACCTGCCCAGAGTGCTGCTGTAAACGGCCTAAGAAGTGGTTGGTTGGGGCCAGACACTCCCAAAGGGAGGGACCATCAACCTCCAGTTCACAAAGTCGATCTCACATATCCCTACTGGACAGTGTGGAAGAAACCCATGCATGTCATGTGGAGACACACTGTAGGCAAGCAACATACAACCTTTATTTCTCTGATCTTTAAGAGGATAGAGCTACTGGATAACGAAACACATAGGAAGATTTCTCAGGAGGCAGATCTAACCTAACTAAAGACTTCCTGTGTGATATAGGTTAGGAGTATTTGGACAACTGCTAATCATGATTGACCTGAGACTCCCAATAATTTGGGATATACTTAAAGACAAATACTACTATCTAAAATCTGGTGAAAGTCCCAAACTGCCCTCTCCTGCTGAGGCCCTGACTGGTCACTGACATGAAGAATCACTCTTGGACTTGGGTGGGCATGTCCTTGGTTGGTGGGGTTATGTCCTAAGCCACTTTGATGTGTCACCTCTGCAAAGAAAACTGTCCCTACTGCTATTAAAAATACTCCATGTAAGACAGAAAAAAAGTGTATTTGGAAACATCTAGGGCATGAGCACTGCACCTGGTGAAGATACAGCTGGAAAAATTCTTTGTAAAAATCTCACTTACCTGAAAAAATGGAATAAGGAGGCCTCTTCTGAAACATGCTCCCTGAGGTGACATTTCCTGGCATGTGTGTGTGTGTGTGGTGTGTGCATGCGTTTATGATTTTCCCTGCCCATTTCCTCTGTTTCAGTGGAAAGTGAGGTACTGAGGCCCATGCTGAAATCATGGCAGCCAGTAGCCATGGAGGACTGTGTACAGGGCCAGGCGGGAAGGCAGCCAGCAAGGACAATTCCCAAGTACATGATGCATGACCTACAGCCCCACACCACTGCAGTGGAGGCTCCCCTTGCCTGGGGTACCAGACATTCCTGGCCTACGCCCAGGGGACCTACCGGAATGCGTCCTCAGGTGACCGGTGAGGGCATCCCTCCGGCGGCAGGCGTAGTTACAGAGGTGGCACTTGAAGGGCTTCTCCCCGGAGTGCAGCTTGATGTGCCGCAACAGGTTGCCTTTCTGGGTGAAGGAGGCCCCACACTGGTTGCACTGGAAAGGCCGTTCCCCTGGGATGAGGAGAGGAGAGCCGGTGATTACAAAACTCAGTGTGGGGACAAGAGGACGACGACAGCAGCGAGAAAGTTGTTTCCCACGGGGGCTCGGTGACTTCCACCGGCTGCAGGTTTGATAGAACATGAGGCTTTCAGACTAAACCTGCCAGCTCCTTAACGCTTCACTGGCTGGGTCAATTTGATCTGAAAATCTAATTTTTTTTCCCTAAATCAGAATGGCACATCACAATGCAAATTCAAACTCATTTAAATAAAGTGACTGCAACATTTTGTGATGAAGAGCCACTCTTCCTGATCAGCAGTTTTGGAATAAACCAATATCCAATTTTGCGTGTTGTGGCATTTGGTGGGGTTTTTAATGTGGCTTTTTTCAAAGGGTCTTTAAAATATGCCACTGAAGCAGCAAAATAAAAAGGAAACTCATTAAAAATGCATTTCAGGATCACAAGTTCATTTCAGCGTTACATTCTTATATTTAAATGAAAGGCACTTCATTATAACAGTTATAATAACTTCTTTTCATTTACATTTTCCCTGTATTTTCCCTTTCAATTTCTTCTCCATTACCTGTCTGTCCCTAAGCAGGCAAATCAGGAGAGAGACAGACAGAGAAAGTGAGGGTGAGAGAGGAAGAGAGAGAGAAAAAAAAGAGAGAAAGATTGAATAAAATGAGAAGTTAAGAAACAGTGAAGCAAGGACCCATTTTTCAAAGAAAAGTCCCAGATCTCCCTACGGCAGGGCATGAAGGTCAGAGTTCGTTGAGATTCCTTGTATTTTTCTTTCTTTACAACTTCTTAAGCCTTTTAAGCACTTATTTGTCTACATCCATAGATGACAAATCATATTTCAGCTACAGACAATCTGAGAGATGCCATGTCGTTATCACTGAGGGATTCTTCCAGGGTGGTACCACTGCATTTGTGACTAAGCACCTGAAACTTCTGCTTAGACTCAGGATCTGATGAAGGGGATGAACAGGTCTTTGCAAGAATGAAACAGGCTGTTGTTGTCTTACTGGGGAGTCAGAGATCTTGGAATCTAACTTGATGAACGTTGCATTTGATTCCCACTGAAAGGAGTGATACATTTGTCTTGTTTAAGTAAGAAAATATTAACGTTCTTTTAAAAAATAATTGAAAAAAATGCTTCATTTATAAGAAGGGAACTATGTGACCACAATTCCTGGTACTGAGATAACCAAAAAAATGTATGTCCCAGGTAAAAAGTTTTTCATAGGAATAAAGAATGTGTTAAAATGTCTTTTCAATCGTGTTCCCAAATGATTGATCTGACTGTGATGAAGGAGACAGCACTTATCAAAAACAATTAAGTAAAGCATATCTGGTACTATTAAAATCCACACCAGATTAAATTTTAAAGTCTATATTGGCACTTGAATTTCCTGATGATCATCGCTGTTTTTCATTGTGCAGGAAAGATGTGCTACTATAAAAAGTTGAAACTAATTTGCAGTGCTATTCAATTATAGGTCAGTTGGAGGGACATGGCTCTCACTAGAATACATTCAATATTTCTCCCAAATTCCTGTCCCATTTGGACTTGGCGGAGCAGAGAGAAAGAGTTTCAAGTCAAGCAGGTTGGAAAGTAATAATAAAATGAACTCACTAACTACCTTCTTCCCTGAGTTCCAAGCCCACCTATGTAGCTGATATTGGAAGGGGAGGTTGAAATAGCTGGGAGCCAGGTAGCCCTGCAGAGCCTCCCATGAAGAGGTCAGTTAATTATTGATTAGATATACTTCTAGGCCTTCATTGTACCTGTTCATGAATATGTATGTTTAACTCCAAGTGGATAAAAAGGAGAAAGAAGACTGACTACTGTGTGCAGAGAGACCCAGACCCGGTGAATCAGAATGTGCCTTCAACCATAAGGTATTCTTATTTGGAAGGGGGCACCCTCAGGCGGGATGGGAAAGACAGTGGGGAAAGTCCATGTCACAAAAATGTTCATAGTGAGGATGTGGGGATCCTCCTGGTGACATAAGTATGTTTGTGATATGACCCGAAGGGCCTAACACAGGAAGGACCCTTGCTGTGCTGGGGAAGAGGGGAAGAGTCAGGTCTCCCCAAGGTCTGAGCTGCTACAGGGAAGAGCTGCACTACACAGGTAGAGCCACTGCTCAGATGATTACAGGCACATCTCCCTCCTGCAGGGAGGCAAGTCAGTGTTTCTTGCAGAGTCAGACTTGTCTTCTGATTTGAGTCCACAGCCTTCATGGATCCCGCTGTGGCCAGCTCCACTGGAAATCTATTTGCTTCTGACTGCTTGTGTGGGTGCATATGTAGCCCAGGGCCAGGGCAAGGGGTCTTGAAGATAGCATTCCTCAAAGTGAACACAGTGTTCCACTCAAGGGATCTTGCTCTTGGAGGTTTAAACCTAAGGGGGCACATCCGTGAAGTGGGGCTGCATAACAGGGCCCTGGTTCTGTATTCTCCTTCCCTTGCCAGTGGCAGCTGCCTGCCCTTGGCACGTCAGCAGCTTGTTCCTGCATCTAATTAAAATTAAGTTTCTCCAAACTTGTATTTATATTTATTTAATTTGGATGAGGACTTTGATGATTGCAAATTCCAAGTTTAGTTTTTTATCCCAGAGACTTCTACACATTTTCCATTGTAGGGGCTCTCTGTAAGAATTTTGGAGACCCTCTTAATAATTTAATTGGGTAAAAGAGCAAGTCTTTATGGATATGTACCTCAAGAGATTTCTGAGGGCCTATCCAAAGAAGATGGATTGAAAAATGTTTATATCCCAAGAAGGGACCTGGGCCTGTTCCTGTTGCCCCTGCACTAAGGAGCAGTATTGTGGTCAGGGAGCACAGTGCATGTGCTTTTTGACGTGACAGATTGGGACAGAGTCTGGGCATGGCAATTTCCTTTTTTTTTTTTTTTTAAATCTGTTTGCTCTTTATCATTTATAATAATAAAGCTACACATGTGTGTGGAGGGGTCTCCCCTCTGCATTTCCTGCTTCTTTCCTACCATTGTCCATCTGATTCTTACACTCTGAGTTGTGGGCGGAGAAGGCATTGCTGTTACTCCTGAATCACAGATGTAAAATGGAGCAGCAAATAGAGGAACTGACGCCCAGCACCAATGACAATGGCACCAGTGCGACTGCACCAAAAGGGTGACACAGGCAGAGGCAAAGGCCCTGTCCTGGAGATTGCTCTAAAATCCCCTGCTTATTAGGGGAGAGTCTGGGAAACCCAGGAACCCCACTGACTGGGTCAGGGAGAGGGGTCAGGATACAAGTCCTAGCTTTCCATATGGGTCATGAATCTTAACTAAGCTCTCAAGGGAACAGCTGTCCAAATGGCCTTGCTTACTGACTGCTCCTCAATGGCACATCCCTGCCCCGTGTCTCCTAGGGGGTTTGTTAGAAATGCCCACTGTTGGCTTCTCCCTGGAATTGAATCAGAGTCTGCATTTTCACAAGATCAGAGTAATTCATTGGCCCTTTCAAGTCTGCTGCTCTATAACTCCCCTGAATATAGGGAAGGCAGACAGCATGGCTTTTCAGATGAATTCCACCCAGATCCCGGGAAAATGAAAACCATTGTAGCATGTGTAGTTGTTCAAACCTAGTTTAGCCAGACTGGGTAAACACCGATAGCTACCTGTGACCATCTGTATTTATACAAGTGGAAATGTACTGTGAAGAAAATCTCACTGTTTCAGGGTTTTCTTCTTATTGTTTTTTTTTTATTAAAGTGTCAGGCAGGAACTGTAAAGTTTATGGTATGTCCCTCTTTCTGGAAGTGATGTGCTCTGTAAGTGAAGGGCTCAGCACAAATTGGGGTGTATGTGACATTTAGTTACTATTTGTGGGGAGAAGTCAGCAGCAAAGAGCAAGTGCCACTCTGCATATCAGTTCTTGGCAGGTTTATTCATTAAATGTAATTATTCTTTTTATCAAAGGCTGCAGCCATTATAGTTTGGCAATTTAGTATGCCCGAATTTGATTCACTTATCAAATATTTATTTAAGAGAATTTTCACTATTCGATTGGGCTTTACATGAATTAGCAGAAAAGTAATTCATTTGTGAGACTGATTCCTCATCAGGAATGTATCACCACAGGTCTTAGAGTGCACTGTTAAGTGTCTGTCACAGGGTAGCCTCCTTCATGTTAATTTCCACCTCATTATAAAATGGGGATGGCAGGATTCCTCTCATGCAAGCTTTTCATAGGGTTGGATGTGATGGGTCTATTTCACTGGGTTATTTGAAGATCAAGGGGACCACTCAGAAAAGCAAATTTTGCTTAATTTTAAAAACTAAATTTTTATTAAATATGGATGACTATTAAAAATCAACTTATCTGTGATTTTTCATATGTGTTACAAATGGAATACATCATTTTGGAGACCACCTTGATTCACATATAAAAATTACAATCCCACAAATATCTGCAGTTCCTGACTTGTTTTTCTCAGTGCATTTTCTGAATTCCTGCTTACTTTTTTGATTTTTATTTGGTTCCATGTAACGAGCACACCAGGCTATAATTTTCAAGTTATCTTGCTCACTTTATTGAGATATACAATCTGCTGTTTCCATAGCAGCTTTTCTCCTCCTGGACTACAGTGGTAGATGCTATTTTCTGATGACCTAAGGATGACAGTTCACAGGCAGCAAGAGCTCAGGTGTCTACATTTTATGACTAAACTTTCTGAGACTACTACAGCTGGTGAATGTAATGTGCTTTACCCACCTTTAAGGAAGCTTCCTAAGGAAAGAAGAATTTCTGTTCAATTCCAAAGAAACCTCATGCAAGATGAGTACCATTAACATTTTACTTCTAAGAGTCCATTACTGTCAGTGGTGGTGGTGTGACAGTTCTGTTCCTAATATGTGGCTGCTCAATAGACAGGAATCACTAAGACATGAGTGGACAGGGCCATCATGGCCAACTGAGGCCCATACCCCCATGACAGGACATCTTGTGAGCCTGAGTACAGCTCTCAGATGCTGGATTCCCTATGTTTTTTCATTTTTGAACACAGAATATTACATTATTTTCTACTTCCAAAGTCTCCAGGAAAACTTTCAGTATCACGGGTTTGGCATGAAATTCTTTACCAGTTGGAAATGAAAGCAAGTGGCGATATCACAGTCCTATTCAATGTCTCAGCCGTTACAGGGTGACCCATATGAAAACTGATTCAAACTCTTTCTGATAAACTACATTTGGGCACTAGTCCATCATTAACTGATTTTTCTGAACAAGTTCTATTACTTAGAGTGTAACGAAAACACATGGTTTCTAAGTGGAAAAACTGAAGACTCTGTTTTGGTGCATTCAGATCTTTCTGACTTGCTCTTAAGCATGGATCACTTAACATGGTAACCTAACAGTGTAGCTGAGACTAGCATGTATAATACGAGGCCCTTGACAGACTTCAATGTATATGCTGTTGACTTTTCCCTTCTTATTTAGAGGGTCAGTGGCATATGTTGAGAAATCATTTTAAATATTGTTCCATGATGATGCTATGGCATCAATACAAGTTGGAGCCAATTACTTGCAACTGCTGTGCCGCCAGTCAATTTGCAATACGTTCAAAACACTCCACATAGGATATTTTGCTCTTCACCACCCCATGGGACCTTCTCAGGCCACTAAAGGAAAAACTATGCCAGGCCTTACCAGTGTGGCTTCTTTTGTGAACCATGAGCACATTGGGCCCGATGCAAATGATCCCACAGATATCACACTTTAGTTTTCCGTTAGGAAGACGAATGCCTCCAACTCCCGACAAAGCCGAGCTGCCTTGGTCCCTGTGAGAGCCATTCATTTTCTCTCCCGAGGCATCAAGCATTCGTAAATCCTCCGCACATTCTTCCCCATTCATTTCACAGGCACGCCCATTCTCTTCATCACTCTGAGTCTCTACTTTAACATTACTGGCTGAAAGAAACAATACAGGAAGCCACTCAGTGTCACTGAAAAAAAACAAAACAAAACAAAACAACACAACAGCAAAAAGACAATCAAACGGACGCAGAGAACAACTGGACAGAGTTCTTAGCATGTACCAAGTCGCAACTTTCCTTATGCTCAATCCACAGAGGGCTTGGATGGCAGCCCCTAGGATGCACCCAGGGCAGAGGGATATGGGAAGGACCTGCAGCCTTCCTTCAGAGATCTAAATAGAGAGCATCTAAAAATGCATGAAAAACTACTTATAAAATTTACACTTTAGGATTCAGCCCTTACTTTAAGCAGGTTAAGATCATCTGATCCACAATCTTGTGGACTCTCAGGAGGAATCTGGGGCTGAATTCTATGGATGCTTTGGCAGACAAGCACTTAGCATCTAGAAGGTGAATATGCAGTCACATGATCCAACTCCGGAGAATAAGTGAACTTGCTGGGAAAGTCCCTAAGAGGTGATTATCAAGCCTGAAGAACTTTTCTTACACATAATGCTACCTTTCCTTGTTTCATGTAAATATTCATAATTTGGGGGGAAAACTCATGCTTGGAGTTATGACCCCAGATCCTTTCAAGTTTCTGAAAGATCATTTTGTTTCTCTGGTTCATGAGCATTCAACTCCCTTTTCATCTTACAGTGATGTAAATCCATCTGGAGTCTTAAAGTAGAGGTGGTCTCTTACATTTCTGCATGTAAGAGATCAGGAAGAGTTTTCCAAAGGCAAATATTTTTTTTGTGGGGCAATGAACTGCTGGGGTGAATGAATACCACAGCTACTGCTAACTCTGCATGACTATTTCGGTCACACAGGGGGTAATTCTATCATTTGCATATTTTTCTTCCAAAAGAAAATATGAGACACTGTTAGCATTCTTCTGAGACACTGATAGCACACTGATGGGTCCAGCACTGTAATGAAGAGAAACTGCAGTTATCCTGAAAGCCACCATGTTTCTCACAATTTGCACAGACTCCTCAGAGTGGGTAGGTACATTTTGCTAAGTAAAACCATCAATGAAGCAGATGACAATTATGACTACGTAATTTTGGACTGAGGTTTCCCATCAACAGTCGTTAGAGTTGGGTCTTTGGAGACGTAGCCTCAGCATCAAATGCTACAAGGGCAGATGCCTGGGTCCCCCCAGACCTGCTAATTCAGAGACTTGTGTGGGCTCTGAAATCTGTGTTTTGATGAACCTTCCAGGGGACTCTAAGGTACACTCAAGACTGAAAACAACTGCTTTCAATAGTCAACCTAGTTCATACCCCTCCATCTTTGTTCACCAAATTCCTTTTTGATTTAGAGACTTAATAGTCTGGACACTGAAAGCCAAAGCCCTGGTCTGGGATCGAAGCTCCTCTGTTAAAAGCTCAGAGATCTTAGGCAAGTCATGTAATTTCTCCATGCCTTGATTTCTTCACCCATTGAAAATGGGAACTATCACAGCACTGAAGGGTAGCTGGAAGGATTAATTGGGCTAACTGCTGAGAGGTAGCTCAGGATGTGGACTGGAATATGGAAAGTAGATGCATGCTCCCCTCAGAGAGCAAGGTCCACCTAACCCCAATAAAGTTTACAGAACTTACCTGGCACTAGGCCCACAGTATTTTTAGGTGCACTTGACTATTTAACCCTGAGAAGAACTGCACAAGGGAGCTACTGTCATTATCCTATTTTAAAGTTGAAGAAGCTAAGGCACAGAAAGGTTGAATTTGTTAAGGTCACACAGCTAGTAAGTGGCAGAGCTTGGAACTAACTGCAAGGGTACCTGGCTCTGGTGCCTACCTTTCTAACCACTCTACTGCCAAGGTTTCCTTATGAGCTCTTTGGAGAAAAGACCTACAGACAAGTTAGGGAGTGAAAGGAATGAACTAGAACAGGGACCCTAGCAGCAGATTTGGAAGCCCCAGAAGTGATGATGTTCTCCTGCCCCTTACTATCAAACCTGGCATTGTGTAAGACCATCCTGAGATGGGCTTCTTCAAATGCTGTTTCTTACAGAGGTCTAGAGATTAGAGACTTAGAGCACCTTGCATCTCAGCAGCCTCTTACTTACCCTTGTGCCAAAGACAAAAGACCAAATCCTACTAATGTGGTCACAAAGGGAGATGAAGCAGGCAAGTGCGGCCCGTCTGCCATCCAGGCAAAGATGTTTCCTGACTGCTGAGTTGTCCAGAATCAGTATTCTCCAGTAGGTGCTGGTATCTTTGGGGGCAGAAGCTAATTCACTAGAAGACTCTTATCATTCAACACTGTCAGCATTAGTCTTGCCATGGTTTAAGTGTCCCCTAGAGTCTCATAGCTAAAAAGGCTTGGTTCCCAGGGTGATGGTGTTGGGAGATGGACCCTGCAAAAGGTGGTGGCAAGCACCACCCCTAGGTAATGGAGGCAGGCCATAAGGGACTGTGAGGCTCCCGTCACTCACCACATCCTGGCTCATGATGTGAAGGTCTGCTCCAATGTCTACTCCCTTCTATTGCCATCTGGCACCCTCACCAGACAGTGTTCATGGACTAGAATCTCCAGAACCATGAGCTAAATAAACCTTTTGTCTTCAGAAGTTAATTGTCTCTGGTATTTCATTTTAGTAATGCAAAGCTGACTAATGCAGTGACTTCAAGAGGAAGAAAGACCTGAGCTAGCACACCTGCTCTGTCTTCCCATGCTGCAATGCAACCATAATTCCCTCACCAGATGCCAAGCAAATACTGGAGGCATGCTCTTTAACTCCCCAGGCTTCAGAATTATGGGCCACACAAACCTTTATTTTTTTATAAATGTAAAAATATAAATCTGTTATAGCAACAGATAATGGACTGAGTCAAATGTGCACAAGAAAGATGATAAAGCTGTAAAGATCTATGTGATCCTTAAATCTAGGATTATTTTTAATTATCTACCTTGTGGGCTGTTAAAAGTGAAACTGGAGCACTCTGGAGCCCAGTGGACCAAATGACAGTTAGTGTGACAAGTTCTTCCACCTTGAGAACTAAGACACAGGGCTGTAGCAAAGCATGTGAGATAGAAGCTCCCGTGGATGGAAAAGAAGTGTGGGGGTTTTCTCATCCCCTACAGAAGAACATGGTGGTGGGATGATCCACTTAAGATGTTCCCCACTTGGCTCTATTTCATTAATTTTAGAGACAATTAGTTACAGAAAATTTCCTCTGGCTTTCCCAAGGGCCCATGTGCACATGTAGCACCTGAGCACCTTCCAGAAGTGACCCTTGCTCTTTTGCATCAAAAAGAATGGTGAGTACCCTTGTGAGTCTCTGGGTGGTCTATGGCATGTGTCACTGAAGTCTGTGTGGGCACTTTCTGCAGAGGAGCAGGACAGCAGGGAAGCATCGGCTGTGACCTCTGGGTTTCTGGAAGCAGGAACGGAAGTTCTGCCATAGCAGGTTGCTTGCATAAGGAGGGAAAGCTAAATGTCAGGAAGGAAGCAGATGAAGAAGCGTGGGGGATAGCATGCAATGGATATTGCCGTGAATACCACAGACATCCTCAATGCCTGGAGACTTGATATCAACCACTAATTTTGCCTAGGGCTCATTGAAGGCAGGACTGTCATTGCTAGGCTACACAAGAGTGTAACAGACAGCTATAATAGAAGCCAGAGAGAGAGAGACTCAAAGGCATGAGAGTCTATCACAAATTATCCTGAGATCAATATGGATACCCAGATGGATTTGTGTAAGAATATATTTGTATAAAGAGATCCCTTACACAGATCTGTATGAACAGCAGTAAGAATTTTCAGCAATGAGAACAGGTATCTCTGAGAAGAGAATGAAAGCTGCTGAGATTTTCTTAGTCTCTGAGAAAAAGACAATATCCCAAGATCCTTGTGGGCAAAGCTAAAGAATGCTGAGTAATGGAGATGTGGTAGAGGGCTCCCCGGCAGCAGACCGAACATGGTTCTTACACAGGAGCTCGAGGGTAGCTTGCAGGAGTTCTAGAACAAAGGGTACCACAGTGGTGAGGACAAATTCTAGGCTACACTATGACTGAAAAAGTCCAAGAGGAAGGGGATGAGCCGGGGCCAGGGGAATCTGTGAGAAGTGACCAGGTGACACTCAGCACAGGGCATACCAGATCCAAGCAGTGTGGGGGTTTTCTCTAAACAGGTAGGGAAGGCCCTCACATTACTGTGTACAAATGTAAACAGCGCACTTGTCATGTAGAGGAGATCAAGAGATTTCTGTTCACTCAAAGAGGCGTCCATGAAAGTGGGGGTCTCCATGTAGAACTGCTCAGGGTGGTACTGTTTTAAAGTACTGTCACACTCTCTTTGAATATAGGGAATATACTTATAAATATTTTGTAAACCCCAACCCTACTCCACACTTAAGACATCAGTTGAGCTGATTAAATATAGAACATGAAATAGGGACTTGTGCGTTGCGTTCCCTGAATGCTCTGGCTCAAGCCGGCTTGAGCTCTTCCATTGACTGAGGGATAATGGACACGGGTCCAATTTTATTATTCAACAAACATGGCTCATATTAAGAATGTTTGCAAGCTCTTAGTCAAAAGCTATGTTGACTTCTCACATGCTATTTAAAATTAGGACAAATTAAAATCCTATTGTCATGAATTTTAGAGGTCTTCTATGCTATTGGTAACCCCATAGTTGTAAGAAAGGCTCCAAGCTCTGAACATGACATGGCCCTTAGCAGATAGCAAGCTGCATTGAGGAATCCGGAGACTCCAAGGAACTCTGAGGTCAACAGAAGCCAAGAGGCCTGGATTGGCTGCCAAGCATTATGTTCACTTGTGAATAATTAAACATTTTTAATGCATAGGCATAATGTACGCTGGCAGCCCCACCTCACAAAGAGGTTGTATTTCCTCTTCATTTTCCTTTCCTTTTTAGAACATGTCTTTATATTTACTGGAAAAGTGTATTTTTGGTACCAAGAATGCATTTTGCCATTGAAAAAGTATCCTGAAAGCATCACTCCAATATAA